TCAAACTCCAGCTGACAGGTTTAGAAAGCCCTTGAGTCAAAGGCTGCGCAGACGATCCAATCCAAATCCAGCTTCTATGCACATGGTTCCCATCGGAATGAGGCAAAGAAAGTGATTAGCACAAGAAGTCACCTTGCGCAAGTTGTCGCGTGTGGGTACCACTCTTGCCCGTCCTTTTTCGCTTCTTCAAATGCACACAGGAAATCGAGTAGCTCTTTACCACCAAGACTTTGCCTTGAGCGTTGCTTCTACGTCACACTCACAAGACTTGTAGACGAAGATATACCTCAAAGCATCAAAAACCAAGCACAACCTTGCAAACCAATAGCAGCAGCAAAGCTCCACACATGAGAAGGGCTGGAACACCGACTGGCCAAGCCTACAGTTTGCTTTTCTTCGCAAAGTTGAGTTCCAAATGGGAAGACAAAACTGCAAGCACTTCTCAGAAGTCTACCCAAGAGGACAGGCGCCAGTACCAACGTGTTGGGGCATTCCAGAACCTGAGACAAACTTTGCCGGACACTGCCTACATGTGCGACTGCTGCTGAAAACAATCACAGGTGTCCAAGAGATGCTGAAATGACTCGCATGCACAGGAGAAGACCATTGCCACATGATCTTTTGCTGAAAGTGCGAGAAGGTCTGCTTGATCTCGCCGCCAGGAACCTCAGGAACCGTCAAGCCAATCAAGTGTGCTACGCCAACAAGTCTATCGTCTTTTCCAAGGAACCTGAGATCGATTGCACCACCAAATATAGGCCTGAGCTGCTAAATGCTCACAATCAGACCAAGCAAGACCCGTGCACGTGATGCAAACTGGTCGCCTCAGGAGGAACTGGATAGCTTCCGAGGCGAAGTTGGTCCTGCAGCACACAAATTGCTCAGCTCATCAAAAACCTTACCATTGAATCAATCGACTGCCACATATTGTGTGTGTGTGTCATGATCTGGTTCCATGCCCAGAGGTCCCGCTGGCTGGTCTTTCGCAGGGAGAGAAGCTCCGACGTGCGAGTGACTGCACGCCGCAGGGACCTACACAACTTCAGGCAAGCAGTGAAGCAAGAAATGACATGGCCAAGGAACATGAAACAATCAACAAGCGGCACGTCAAAATCACATCATGGATCATCATGCGAATCCAAACTCGATCACTTTGCACTCTTCAACTAAACTAGCCAAACTTTCAGTTCTGTCAAAACCTCATCAATAGTGTCATGATGTGCCATCACAGTCTAAACTTGGTGACGTTCGACTCTTCAACTGGCCAGGAGCACATGGTTGCTGCAGTCGTGCCCTTGCAGGCGCTTCCAGGATTGCTTCGTGCCCTTGAGTCAAAGGCTGCGTGGACAGTCCACCAATCAGCTCGTGCTTCTGAGCCAACAGGCTTGACATTGAAAGAAAACAAACACTGTATGCAATGCCTCTGTCGCATTCATATCTATATATATATACACACATTCATACATGGTAATTGTGTATTATATATATATATATTCTAGTATTTAGTTCTGTAGTTTTCCTCTTTGCAACTCTTTCTATCCCGCTGCGAAGTGCGAGCTCCTTTGAAACTAGAGTCTCCTGTGTCTGTGTGAGCACTGCTCATTCGAAGGGCCAAAAAGCTAGGAAGCAGTCTAAGCACCCTTCATTCGGAAGTTGAACACACCAGTGCTGTCCCCAAAATGTCCTTCCTGCTGATCTTCAAGATCTTCAAGATATGCGATACATTCCAGAGCCCTTGGTCCAGAAAGGCAACTTTGGCCTCTCTAAACACCGATGCCGCTACCAAGCCGAGCTAAACACCCGCAACCCATTTCAGAGTCCACCGGGTCACGGTCCGGTCCGCCCGCAGACAGGACGGTCCGACCGGTCGAACCGAGACAGGACCCCACGGCCATCGATGCACCCCGCTCGGGCCGGAACTCCCGGCTTCCGATGGCCGCAGGGTTTGGGCGGTTCCGGCCTCTACACAAACATCTTCTTCCTCCTCCGCGCCGGATTGGGCTTGGCCTGAAGCGATTCATGCGGGAGTTACCGTGGGCAAACATCCAGTACACACATGACTCTTCGAGTGTCAAAGCACTTGGTGTGTCTCAAAATGTCTCAAAACAGGTAGACATTTGGGATCAGAAAAAAGTTGCGGAGCACTTTTCCTGCACCAATTTTGGACTCTCCCTTTGGACTGGACACACACCAGTCCATCCCAAGGTCAAAAAACCAACTCAGCTACCCCACGGCATCCGGGTCATCTCCATCTGCACGTTCGACCCGCGCCTTTCTCCAACCGCAACGAGGAAAAATAGACAACAAAACCTAGAAGTCGAACCACCATTGTTATAGTAGCGTTTACCGAACTACCATTGTTTTTACCAAGAGGTTGCACTACATTCAAAAAAACATCCAGTTCTTCGGGGGCCAAAAGAGGAAGGCTCTGTGACGCCGCACCTGCAAACGCTCTGCCATTCGGGCCTCCAGCGCCTCTTTTGGCCGAAACGTTTTCGCAGGAACTGCCACGTTTTCGGGGTTCGGGGAAGGTGAGGGAAGATGCTACGATGCAGTGCGGGTTTCTCACAGAAAAGTGTGGGGAAGGTGAACATCGGCAACACACCCGGTGATGAGCGTTGTGAATGGAGCCGTGAGGTCTTATGAATCAAGAGCATGTCCACACCAGGAGGGTCAAGAATGATCATGCAAACCGATGGCTAGTCAACTCATGTGGACCGGCAAACGCAAAAAAGACTGATTTCGATCCTTGCTCCCTTCTGACCCTGAAAGCCTTTTCTGCGCCTCTTGGTGGATCTGTGGGTCTGACCTGATCTGACCTGCTTGACACGCCCTTCTGTCTTCCCTCCACGTCCTTCGCTTGCGCCATCGCTCGTGCCCGGTGCCTCTGTGCCGGACCTCAGGGATTCAAGCTCCTGCCGCGGCAAAGAAGGCGGCGTGCCGCGCGGCATGCCGAAGGCAGTCAAGAATTCCCAAAGACTCGAAGGTATGCAGTGGTGTTTCGTGTTTGCTGGAGGCAATCCAAAAGAACTTTGAACTTTGGACAGTTGTTCATGTTCGCGGAACCAGTCACTATCTTCAACAACTGGGAGCGACCAAGAAGGAGAGGGTGGCAAACATGATCAAGAAATCAAGTCACGTGCATGCTCGTGACTCATGACCAAACATGGCACATGTTGGAAACGCAACCAAAATTAAAGCAGCTTTGATGTAATGTCCAGTTGGCTTGGCTGGCTTGGGAAAAAGAAACAAAAACAAATCTCTCCTGTAGCAAGTCTGTGCCAGCAAGAACTTTCTCTTGCCTGTTTCGTATGCGAAACAGTTGAGCGGTTAACGTTTATTTAAAGAATCAGTGGTTTCTTCTCAACGAGCCAGTAGAAGCTTCCGCCAATCTACAAGTACTAACCAACACAAAGTCCAACCAACCACAACTTCCACCACCAAATCACAAACTCAAACCCTCGACTCTGCAACGAAATTGGATTTTTTGTCATCGCCTTTGCAGTCATGTGCAAAAGAGTGCCATGAATGACACCCACGGGCCCTGTACCGCTTTTTTTTCGTTCGCCACCGACCTTGCTTCTTGCTTCTTCGACTTTGACCCGCTCGGCGTGCTTTCAAAGGCTTCTTGAAACCTCTGGGCAAGATTGGCAAGTTCGACCGCCTTCGGTTCGCCGGTGCGCGCAGGGTGGGCGCACGGTGCACGCATCGCTCGCAAATTTTGGGGTCCATCTCTGAGCCCAGCGCTCGGCACGCAGCTGCGCATCAGCCTCAGCTTCTTCGGTCTTGAAGAAAAGAAATGTCAGTGCATATATTGATATATATATATATATACCATCTCTCATGGTAAAAGTCAAGATGGTGATCGCAGTTCTTCCTTGCCCCAGACCAAGGCCATGGCGTCCTCTAGGCCCTCTGCCTTTCCATTTGATGGGCAGACGGCAATGTGATGGCAATGAAGACACCGAAGGCGCCGAAGACCATGAAAAAGCGAACTATATTATATATATATGTAGTTATATATATATAGTGTTTTTGAAGCACCGACAGAACTCTTTGCAGGCTGCATTTCTTGCAAGTCATCTTCCACTTCTCACCCAAAAACCGCCGTGTCCACAAGTCCGTCGGACCATGTGCAAGTCGCCTCTGAAGACTTCTGACGTTCCTCGAGGCCAGCCTTGGTGGAAATGCCGTAAAGTCTGTTCACCTGTACGGGCCCAGGTTCGTGGGAGAAAAGGTTGGAAAGCAATTGCCCTAAATTGGATAAGTGATCCGAAACAAAGGAGCTGATGTTGTCTAAAGCCGAACCCGGATGTGATTCAAACTCCAGTATGCTATTGCCCCAGTGTTCCATCCCTCCTTCCGTCAACCAAAACCAGTGATCCAAGGCTTGGTTGATCGACAAAAGCCTTGGATCAAGAAGTTCAAGAAGCCCAGTCAGCTTCATGGAAAGAATCGACCCAAACAGGTTGCCTGCTTCATTGGTTCAAACATTCACAGGCCCTCGCTGAACCCTCGCTGCAAGGGAATAGCTAAGAGCGGACCTGAAAGGGTTGGATTCAAGAGACTCGTGTGACCGTTGCACCGCTTGCAACCGACCCTTGCAAGGTTGGGGAGGGGGAGAGAGGACTGTGGGACTGACTCACTGGTTTGTATGCACTGATGTGCTTTCCTTACTGCATTCGAGTTGAATTCACATCCTTCTAAGGCTCGTGCTTGCTGTACCTCATCCTTGTTGGGAGGTTCATTCTGTGACCTCGCCCATCATGCACAATACGAAGTAATTGCTTCAAAGTGCACACAGCACCAGCAGCAAAGGCCTCGGCGGGCCGGTCTTGGCTTCTTCCTCTTTGCCCTTGGCCTTGGCACTGTGGGGGCCCGCGGAGTAGGATTCACAAAAATCGGGCGCCCAAGAAGGATCAGTCTGTGAGAGCCTTTCACTTCCGATGGGAGAAACACAGCTATTTCTGTAACAGGCTGGATCTCTACAAACCATGAGTTTGAGTCCATGTCCTTTCGTATCTTTCTTTAAACATCTTTATGTAAACTAGACAATTGGAGGCCTGCGGGGCCAATCCCCTAGAGGCCTCTCCTTGAGAGCCAAAAGCCGGCCAGCTTCTGAACTTCGGCTGATCAAAGTTGACGTCTGGGTTGGCTGTGAGAGTTGGCTGGGGCACGAGCGGCACCGTGACTGTGCCCGCTGGCCCCTTTCTTCTTACGTTTTTTCTTCGCCTGGTACCATCAGCAAATTCCTTGTCTCGCTACTGTGAGTCGCTCAAAAAAAACAGGAGAATCCCTGGAATCTCTGAAGATGCAAGCAGTCTAGAGAAACGGAATAGAAATGGTGTGACAAAATCCATCCATTCACTTCCAGCCTCTGCGTGGGAGTCCTTGTCTCCTTGTCTCAGGCAATGGACAAGACCGCGCTGGACAGGTCCCCAACGTCCAAGACGAGACGGCACAAGTGCTGGACAGCCATCTGAGGGGCCAGCCGGCATCCCGAACCGCAGGCCTGTGGCTTGCTTGAATCATCAAACAACAACGAAGCACCGCTTGTTTGGCATCATGAGCCAACTCCTTCAGTTCCAAAACCAACCGGTGCATTGCTTTGGCTCCTTTTTAACGGCCCATGCGCTCCATGTCGATGTCGTCATCAATGCAACGAGTCTTCCAAAAAAACGACGTGGCAGCGTGTTTGGAGCCGTCAGCAGCCCTGCGGCCCCTTCGGCGATCAATAGCATCCATCAGCTTCAGACATCTTTTGACAGGAAGATCTTGGGATTTGTCACACGTTCCCTGCTGTTTGGATGCATCCGGTGCGAAGCCACCTGACCCGCCGCTCAGTGGAAGCCTCAGTCATTTCGGGAGCAACAGCTTCTTCTGCCGTGTGGTTCAGAGCAAGTTCCGTATCAAAATGCCCTGAACATCTCCTAAAGCACCAAACATCTCCTAAATCTCTCCCTAAATCTTCCAAGCCAGCTTTGCAATCCCACTCTGTGCAAAGAACTCTGGCTTTTTGTCCGGACTGGGAGTCTGTCAGGGTCAGGATTCCATCAAAAGAGCATTCCTGTACTGAAATGCCTTGCGGTCTTGGATGGTCCACAAATCCGAGCCCCTATTATGAAAAAAGAAACAGTTGCCCTCACTTCTACACTCGCTTCGAGGATACAAGCTCGTCATTTGCCTGCCCCCTCCTTCGCCTTCGCCGCCGCCGAACCGAGACCGAGGGGCCCAAGGTCTGCGAACGTGGGCGCCTCAAGCCCCAAACTTCGCGGCCTTCCTCGCGCAGCCTCATTGCCCCCACGTGCGGGCCCCCGCGACGTGCAACCCCGGACCCTGTGGAACGTGTGTCTCAGTGGTGGTCACCTGCTCGTCTTTCGGTCCAACTGGGGGGGTCTGTCGACCCTCTCTGCAAAGCATGTTCTTATTAGATTCTTATTGTTTTGACATGACCCTGTGCAAATGGCTTTCGCTGTCTGAATCCTTGAGAATCAAGTGGTCGTTTTGAGAATTAAGTTGTCGTGTTGAGAAAGCGTTTTGGGTTTTTGGGTTTTCGGGTCTCGCCGCCCAGCTGTTTGGTTTCTGCTTGCACCTGTCGAAGCACAACTTCTTGCACTCCGTCTCCAGCCAGCGGCACTCCTTTCGTCGAAACACCAGGCGGCCTTTCGGCCTTTCGTCTTGAAATGAAGAGGGGCAAGGGACTGGTCTCATTCCAACAAAAAAATCCCTGGAGTGCCAGGACTTGTCTCATTCCAAAGCACTTCGTCTCATTGCAAACGTCCCAAAGTTCCTGGAAAAAAAAACCTAGGAATTGTTTCGCACCAGTCATGCCTTTGGCGTCCTTGCAGTCGTGCCAACGCCCGCCATGCCAAAGGAAGTCACGCTTGCGCGCGTTCACATATTGGTACCTGGCCATGACGGGACGAAACCCTCCACCGTCGCAAGTCCCAAGAGGCTCAAGGTGTTTGCATGCAAGATCATGCAAGTATATATATATATATATGCAAGTATATGCAAAGTTCCTTGGCATTAACAAGGACATCGCTACTAGTAGCAAGTGCATCGCTACTAGTCACAAGAAGCTACTAGTAACTCTTTTACAGTGAGCGTCATCGGTTTAGCCAGGAAAAACCTCATGGCTCGGGCACTCAGCCATCAAAGGCACAGGTGGCTTGCAGGCCAAGTGCGTAAATTGACCATACCTCCAAGCATGAGCAGGTGACCAAGTCCTGTCTTCAAGCCACACAGTATCATGTACCTGGGGCTAGTTCAAAATTGCCCCCCAAAATGGCCAAAACATCTTCGGGAAGCCAAGAATCTCAGGAGAAAGTAAGAATGGAAGTCCAATCCCGCCACAAGTGTCCCACCAAAATCCAAACAAATATCTTAGTTTGCATGTGCCTTTTGACTGAGCTTCCGCCAAGTTGCCAGTACCAAATACTGATGGGCATGAAGAAGAAGTTCCTTGCGACGCCGCAGAACTCGTGGACTGTGAATGGACTGGCCCCAGGTGTTGACCCTCAAGCTTAAGATGATTTTCCTGTGATTCCACCATCCTCGGCTTGACGAGTATGCCTGCAAAGCAGTGGTTTGGTATTCCTGTTCATGTTCAAACCAAGAGATTAGATAATCATACCCTAGCCTTCAAAGACAATCAAAATAATGGTTGGCCTGGTTTTGTAGGGTAAAACACTTAGTAAAGCAATGTTTCTTTGGCAAAGACCATTGAAACAATGTTGTTGGAATCCCAGTGCATATAGTATAGTCTGATTATAGTTTGATTAATCCTCAATGTGAGGGATCCCTATGTCCGAATTTCGGATTGTTGGCAGCCAAACAGGCTTAGGGGTGAATTTGCTTCAATCGCCAATGCACCGTTGGGAATCTTCACTCCGAAGCTTTGACGCCAGATTTCAGACAGGTCTCACCCAAGTGAGCCAGAGCAGCAGCTTGCGCTCGTACTCGGTGACCATGACCTACAGTAGGAAGAACAGGGAAAGGCAACGCTTGGGCACCTAGAGTCTCTTTATAACAACTCAAGATTCACATGGGTGTGTATTTAAATAGCGAGACCTCCCAGTTCGACCCCCTGGAAGAAGGAAGAATAGACTTAAACCCACTGGGCCAGGAGGTCTACCTAAAAAATATATATATTATATTATGTGTATATATATATGTACGCACCGACGTGTGTGCTATTGGCTTCACAGCGACTGTGTGCCCTTGAGAAGAGACGATGGGTCAGAGTTCACAGACCCTCCAGACACAACGATGGATGAAGGCAAGACTGTTTTCAGTGCACCTAAGATACCTACACTAGACTTTGAGAAACCTAAGATACCTACACTTCCTCCAGAAGTCAAAGACCACAGGTCACAGGTCCTGCAGGTCATGTGTTTGCCGGTTCTCCACCGGTCCGGTGGCGGTTCAAGACAGCGGTTCTTCGGCGCCCCCACAGCGGAGGAGCGCATCCAAGGATCCAAGTCCAGGATCCAGGCACGACGGGAGTGCCACTTCCTGAGGCTTTCTTCTGCCAAGAGAGCGGTGAGAAGTCTTGGTCACTCGGGGTGTACGAATCGGTTTTTCCAGTGAACACTGGTCATTGTAGACTCTTAGAATCAATGAAACACCCTTATTTGGATGGACGCAAAAACCTCTTCATATGGGTGGCTCTATGCACCAAGAGTCTACATTACCAACACTGCCACCTGGTGGTAGCTGGGTTTTGCTGCACAACCCGAAACGCACGACCATCATCTTCCATCACGGCTGTTTCTCTCTTCCATCTTCCATCCACACGACTCGGCTTTCGCACGTGCGCGGAGCCCGCGGAGCCCGCGGAGCCCGCGGAGCCCGCGGAGCCCGCAGGTCAGCACGTGGTGCCTGAGGTCAGCACGTGTAGAATCCCGTGACGTCAAGCCTCGGAAGGGCGAGAGGAAAAACACCAGGCCGCGGAAGGGCGAGAGACCACGACAGAGCCTGGTCTTGTAGTCTAAAATCCCTAGTAAAACCATGGTTGTTCGGTAAAGCCCCATTATAGAACATCAATCAATGGTGGTTGGAATCCTAGGGGACAAAATAGAGAACAAAAGAGCGATGCGGTACACTGTAGACTTTAAGCAGTACACATCTGTCTTTTCGTAGAACACCGACCAAATGCTGGCTGAATATGAAAACCATCACAAAGACTTGGAAAGCTGTCGCCCCTGTTCGGCTGTACTTCTAGAGAACCGTGGTGCGCTTGATAAAACACACAAAAAGCTGCGACAGCTTGTGCAACTTGCTGCAACAGCTTGAGAAAAGTGTTTAAGCTTTCTCTCCCAACGGACCAATCGCTCGTGTTCCGAACCAAAAAAGCACCGCGCAATGACACGTCACGGTTGACGCGCTTCAAATGACGCCAAAGGACCAACGCCACGTCTTCTGGGCGAAGGTTTCCTGGTGTCCAAACGCAGCCCGTTCCACATCCGAAAAGCAGCTGATGTGGTTTCGAGTACCGAGCCCTTCCAAAAGGATATTACTGCAGTAGATGGAGAGATCTGCTGGATTTGGTGGAAATCCCAAGACGTTGGCTTTGGTCGCTTGATGCTGGTACGGATCCGCCACTATCCGTCACTATCCATTCTCCAACCCGCCAGGATCCAGGCTTCAACGTCCAGTCACTTCTAAGACCAAGCAACAGTGAACCTTTTCGGTTCCTCTATCTGCGATTAAGTTCAAAGTGAAAACATCAACGGACATGTCCAACCTCCTCGCCTAATCTTTGGGAATCCACTAAAACGGATGGATCCACTTCCACTTCTGAAAAAATCATCTGCCCGGCCCTGCCCTTCATAATCTCCACACATCGCCTGGCTGGAAGCAACCACTGCAGTGGAGGCCTGACGGACCCCCATGCGGGCTGCCTGGCGAAGAGACGCGAACGACCAGCGCGAGCGAACGCACGACGGCCGCCCGCTGGCAAGGTGCTTGGGGCCGAGTTGCGATAGAACTCACGGGCCAAAAGCGGTGGGGTGGGTTGATCGTGACCATTTGCAAAAGCGCTACAAAAGGCGACCAAAGTCCATTTGGGGATCTCCACGACCATCGAAACGGATGGTCCTGGGCCGTGGATGGTTTTGCTTTTGGATGGGCGTCAGACGGTTCGACAGTTCAAGGATGGTGAACTCTGTGAGGGCCGTGGTGTGGAAGGCCTTCCCCAACTTGGGATGGTGTGGGTCAAAAATCTGGACCCCCAAAACCATGTCTCTTACAGTCTAGTCTGTTCATGTTCGGTGGTCAACCAAGGTTCCCCATTGTTCGGATGCTGATGCTGGTATATGAAACTGGAGAAACCGCTTCCAATGTGCAGTGAAACTGCCGCCATCACTGCTTTCCCTCAAAAATCATGTCTTAATGCCTCACTTCGGTGCGTTGGCCACCCTTGGTGCATGAATCATGCTCTTGTTGCAGCTCGGCTCTGAAGTCAGACCAGCCATGACTACACAGCCCAAAGCCTTGAGCAATGGGTTCACATCTAGCAAGCCAAAGAGTCCCAACATACTCCTTCCTTCCTGTAAGGTCCACTCTGCCAACGATTTCTTCTAAACATGATAAGCAACCAAATCATGTAGAATCTGTACAAAAATAAGATGAATCAAGAACCCACAAAAAGGATCCTTGATAATGTATAATGATATGTCAAACAATCTCGAGATCGAATCCGCCCCCAACTCTTCACATCGAATCGTCTCGTCTCGTCTGGTTGTTTTTCTCCCATTGCCTGCGCTGCACGCTGTAGCAAAGGCATGATGCCACAGCTTGAACGCCTGAGGGTGAGCCGTTGGTGTTGCAGCAACAAAAGAGGAGATGTGGGCGTTTCGGCTTGAAAACCGCAGGGAGGTGCACGCGCACAACGCGCACAACGTGCACGATGTCGTGGCACCGCAGGAGGTGCACGACACACGGTCACCACGCGCCTGGACGGGTGGGATCACGTCGTGGGATCACGGTCCTCCCTTTGAGCCACCAAGATGCAGCGGTGCCGTGACCACGCGAGACCCGCGGCACACGCGCGGCGTCTGGAGCAAGGAGTCAAAGCCCAAAGACGCGGTGATACGGAAACGGCTTTTCATCTTAGGGGGGTTCTCCCAACCACAGGATTCCCAGCCAACCCATCGCTCTTCCAACCTTCCAAAGCTCTCGTTGTCATGTCCTAAAAATCGCCCCAAACACCCCGGTGCGTGTGCACACGCCCCGGGCACGCGCCTGCCAGAGGCGCCCGGCGCGGCTTCGCCGCTCACGGCCTCGATGACCTGGTGCATCCGCTTCTCCACCGCCTGGGACTCGGCCGAGTCCCGGACAGGAACGGAGACCGGGTTCCGGGACCGGAACGGGAGAAGGAAGGACGGAACCGAGACATGGAGTGGGATGTGTTGGATCCTAGAATTGAACCGGGTGGGCTGTGGTTGCTAAATGTGTGAGCTGGATCTACTTGCTCTCCGAACTTTTTGCGACAAGTCGAAAAGTAGTCGACCCTCTGCGAAAAGTCGAAAAGTCTCGCTGCGTGCCTTCGTGTCCTTTACCTTTTTGACTGTTTGACTGTTCTCACTTTTTGACTTTTCTCACTTGTTGACTTTTTGATGATTCTCACTTTTTGACTTTTTGACCTTTGCTTGGTGTCTTGCAAATAGATCGTCGCTATATAAAGGATTTAGCGAGCTTAGAGAAAAAAGAACAACCTATCTTGCTGGGTGGTTCAGCCTGATGGTGGGTGTTTGGATGTTTGGGGTTTAACAGTAACCAGTCTCATTGATTGGGAGGGGTTCCTAAACAGAATTGGCAACTCCCATAGTAACTTTTGGTCGGGTCTTGACCCCTGTCCATTTGCGTGGTCCCAACTCGCGAATCAACGTCCCCCACAACCCTCGTTTGTCATGACCACAGCAAAGATGAAGAGGTCACTGATCACTTGTGAAGTCTCGCAAGTTTGATACACCAAACGGCAAATTTATCTTGCCTTCTGAGGTACGGTGCTTGGGGTGGGTGCCAGGAGGGTCCAAATACCTTCTCAGGAGGTACTTGGAGGCCTAGGGGGATCTTCCAAGTGCTCTCCTTGCATCCTTCCTCCAAGTTGGTCACCAGCTGCTTGCCCATGGAGCGAACCTCGCAGGCCATGATGGCATCTGTGGAGAAGTCTTCCAAGGAGAAGTTGCCCACACGGGATGTGCGTATCTCGCCCATGCTGTGATGTGTTTTTGACTGCTGTTCCCCACGGATTTCTCGGGGCCTGCAAAAACCAAACAGACCTTCATGGTTCCCAGGTCCGTCACTCAACTCACAGCAAGTGCGTTCCAAATAACTTGGAACAAGTTAGAACGAAACAGGTGGCCTCGAATCAGAGCAAGGTATTGTGGCCTGAAGCAAGGCCTTTCCAATCTTCAGGTTCTCAGTCACCTTGCCCAGTCTAGAGTCTAGAGCATCCCTGTTCAGGCCTGCCGTATTTCCGACATGATGAACTCCTGGCTGGGGCGGCTTCACAGCAACCCATCACCCATTAGCCCAGGCTCCTCACAGTACCTCAAGATGGGGATGAGGACAAACAGTTGATATGTACATATATATATATATAACCCCCGTAGAGTGGATGGCATGGAAATGGCATGGCGGACATGGGCAACCAGTTGGTCCCCAAATGACATGGGTTTGAAAAGGACTTCCAAGTTTGACCAATCCCACAGGACCTCATAACAAACGTAGAGCTCGCACAAACCAAACATGTAAAGGATTGCAAGCCAGAGGTCGGCACCGCGAGGCGGACACAGCAGTCCACAGAAGGCGGACACTCTTAAAAGCATTGGGAACCCCTACAGTAAACGGTTTGGGGAAGAAAGCTTTGGGATTCCGACCAAGGATGTGTCAAGCTATCCTGCTGTCAGACATGTCCAGCGTTTGGACCGATTCTGCCAGCATTTCCAGCCATCGGTTGGAATCCCTAATTGGAAGGCTTGAAGGCTTGGCTCCTGAAGCTCTGCACCAAGTCCCGGCAAGTCTTTGGATGGGCCCTGTGCCACTGCTGCTCGGTGAGTGCTGGCAGCCAGGTCTCAGCAGGAGGAGGAGGCTCGGAAGGGCAACGGAGCGATTCGTGCGGCATGGACGGATGGCAAGGATGGACATGGGTCCCGTGGATCCTGGGTTCTGTGGGTTCTAAACTTAAAAGGATCATGGATATATACTACATATATCTATATATATATATGGATTTATGGGTGGTCAAGCCTAACAAACCTGGACCATCGCCATGGATTGGTCTGATTCAAAGCTGAAAGCAGGGCAGCAACAGTCGTCTGGTTCCTCCATCAATGAGACAAGGGCCCAAGGGACAACTGCGGTTTAGGAGCTTTCGACCCAGCTTGCCGAGGCCTCTCTCAGGTCTCGGATCCCCTTGCCAGCTTGGCTTATGGCCATCTAGGAGCTTTGCCACCTGCGATCTGGCCTTGGACAAGGCCTCACACGGACACGACATGCACAAACAGACGCAAGCCGCATATTGTTTTTTCCATGCAAGGCGCAGAAGAATGTGCAACTATATAATTCGGTGCCAATTGGTGCATTGCAATAAGAGGTGAATAAAGAAAATGCACACAAAAAGATGCAAAAAGCCTTTAGCAAAAAACATGAAAAAAAACAATAGTCACGGTAAGCCATGACCAAGCGACATCACAACAGCATGTTCGTCATTGCACACCCAGACGGGACTGCGCCTGACTGTGCTGTCTCAGCCCTGACCTCATGTCATCCAAAGGATGCTCGAAGGAGGCCACTAACCTGCAGTTCTCAGAACTCAAGACACCTCTAGCCGTCCGCCGTCCGCAGAGATGTGACGAAGAGGGTCCCGATGTCCGCACAAGGTCAGAAAGAAAAAGGACAGGTCTAAGTATGTGAAAGCGCTGCTTTCTCGCAGCCCTCCGAAACCAAACCAACCGGGTCGGTGCGACCTCCCTTCGGGCCTCTTCACCGACTCGGACATGTTCTGTCGAAGCTTCGAGCGGTGCGACTTTTGCGCCGCCTGCGCAGGCCGAAGCAAGTCTGGCCGATCTCGGACCGAAAGTGTCGGTCTTGCAACAAGCCATGATCACCTCAAGCCATGCAAGCTTTGCTCGGTCATCATCCCGTGAAGAACCCCACTGTATACCCGGCCCCCAGCAAGTCGAAAGAACAGACGAAGCGTGAAGGGTCCAGGGTCTTTGAACGGGGGGTCCTCGGAGTTTCTCACGTTGAGAGGACGCGTCCGCAGCTCTGTCCCGGGCGAGGACGCGGCTCTCTGTCCTCCTCCGGCCTAGGATCCATGCGCCAGCAACATCCAGTGGCAAATCGCAGCAACATCCGCCCGTGGTGCCCCAACCACCCCACCCGCCCCCCTCGTCCCAACCTGCAAGGATCTCACGGTGCGGCCTAACGCCGCACTTTCTTCCTGCGCAGCGGGCATCGGGCGCATCGTGACCGTCTCGTGGGGTCCAAAAGCTCCAAGTTCAGGTGGCCCTTTTGGTTCCTTGGCAGAGGTGGCCACTGGATCGAACCTCTTTCCTTTTGGTGTACACCGGCGACACCCCCACAAGAATAGGAAGAAGTCATCCGACGTCATCCTCTCATTTTGGGCTCCATCCAGTTCCGGTCCGGCGACCGAGGTCGTCGTTTGGACCTTCGCCTCTCTTCCCGATGTGTCGACCATTCGTTTGGCTCATCGGCGCCACGGCCGGTGCGGCCCGGTGCGGTTCGGCCCCACCTGCAGATCGGCGATGGAGGCCATTTGTGCCTCACCGGGTCCCACCGGTCCGGTGGGGAAACCACACACCGTGGCGGCGGCGTTCCAGCGGCGTTCGGCGTTCGGCGTTCGGTTCAGGTCTTGGGGTTCATTCGGAGCTGGAGACGTCTGAGACGTAGGCACTAGACTGGTATCTGTCCAGTCGGAAGTCGGAAGCTGTAGCTACAGCTCAAAGGCATCTGACAAGTCTGACAAAGGGACAAGGGAGAAACGAACATTAGGGTGATCTTTGGATCCCTGTGGAGCTCTCTATCTGAAGAGCTTTCTCCTGTCGGGCAAAAGAAGACTGTCTAGGCATCTTTCCTGAAGGTGCTCGCTCAGCTCCTTCATGTGTGCGCGCGTCTCCTCTCACCCAATGCAAATCGTTGAACATCGTCAAACCATGTCAATCCGATAACACATGACTCTCGGTACACATAACCATTGCTTCTCATTGTCAAGAGGGTTGCCTCAGCACATCTCTACTGACTGGCAGCCAAACCTTCGGGACTCGCGGGACTCGGCTGCACTCGAGCCATGGGGCCATGCGGCCTTGGGGCCTTGGGGCCTGAACCCCCATGGCTCGTGTCGCTCCTGCAAGCAGTCTTCGACATTGGTGGGCATGAGCCCGGGCCTCCCGGCTCATGCGCGGGGGAGAGGACGGCGAGACCGACGTCCGTCCGTCGAGGTGCCGGTCTGTCACGTGTTCACGAGGAACTGGCTGACTGATCAAGTGGTCTGGTCTGGCACGGGCAGCCGTAACATGTGCCTACCAAATGCTACCACCTCTATCAGGTGTTTTGATGTGTTTTGCATGGTTTCCAACTAAAAAGCTTGTGTTGAGGTCCGCACGGAGCTTTTGCCAGTAGATCCGTGAAAGCCGAGTCTGTCCTCGTGCGAGGAAGGGCTCATGCTGCAAGTCTAAAAGCGGGGGGAGATCCACAGTCCACAGGTTTTGCTCATTGGAAGGGAATCCGGAAATGACCCCGTGATACACTAGTCATAGCTGGAGACGAACTTTGCTATTCCTCAAAAGCCACATGCCTGGAATATGATGCCATGACTCAGTGCAAGAAGCAAGGTAACAGAGTCTCACAGGTCCACGAAACAGAAAGTTTTTCGTGGCTGGGCTCAAGCCAGCCATGGGTACCCCAAATAGTGGACTCACACAACCTCACACCGGTGTATATCGAACTTGAGGCCGAGGGTAGGTGACGAAAGCTAGCAGGGCGGGGGTGACGCGGGTAATACACACGTCCCAGAGACGTCCCAGGGAGGAGTTGAACCCCCGGGGGTGCCCACCAAAATATTATGAAGTGTTCACGCGGCACCGCGCACTCTCGAGGATTCCAGCCCCTCACATGCTAAAGCAAGAACAACTGCAGCAGCTAGCCTAGCTGGTGCATTCACTTTCGTGATTACACAGGTGTCCTGCTCTTCCAGTGAGCCAAACCCCAGCTCTGGAGTTCTGTTTGGTCCTTTGCAGAACCTCCAGCATTGGCTGCAAGCTCAGACTTTGGCACCGGTTCACCTGAAGAGGGGCATCACCGCACACCGGTGGACCTGTCGACGTTGAACCTGCAACGTGCCTCAAATGATGTTGCTTCAAAACGTTCGGAATGCACTCCAAGCGTTCGGAATGCTCGACGGGTTCCATGAGTTCGTCGGACTCTTCGGACCCTTCGAGGGTTCCATGAGCCTGAAAACTCAGCCCATGTCCTCTCTCAGCCCAGCACCCACGCTGCATTGTGCTCCCGCAACCATTCAGCCTGGGCCGCTTTCTTTCGCCCCGAACCCGGGCGGTGCGAGCGGCGTGAAGCACCCCGGAAGGCGTTCGCGGACGTTCGCACAGGACCCAGTTTCATGCATTCCGGCGTGGTCTAAAGCAAGGTCTAAACAAAGGCTGGTTGAGGACAAAGCTTCGGGTCAAACCCATGTTGTAGCACATGTGATCTGGCTGTTCGCACTGCAAGGGCACATTTCTTGGCCCTATCGTTTACCCTTGCCTCACTTTCCGCTGCGGCCAGCCCGCTATCCAAATCCAACGTCACAGCCTCAGAAAGACTCAATGAATGAACACTCCAGACAAGTAACTCCTCTAGAAGTACCAGCTGCTTCCAAGGGGTCACCAAAAATCAACCCTACACTACTTCTAGGTATCCATTGGACCTGTTGGAAGTGATAAAATAACCTCCCCTTTTTCAGTGATTCTTCCAGTCTGCCAAGGACCAAAACTGTCTCAAGAAGCTCCCTGCCATTCGCCACTCACTTCTCTGAGGCTCGAAACCAGCGGCTCAGCACTGTCGCTGGCCTTGTGCCATGCTTTCCGTGCACCGATGGCTTCGATGAGTTCAGAGCTCCGACAACTGGAGCTTGGTCTGGTGCCTTTCAGTACCTTTTTTTCCCCGTTCCTCCGTTCCTGGACATGGAGCAATTGGGGTAGTCAATACGTCCGAAAAAGAGGCAAGTCAATATGGCACTGTGAATGGAGCTGACGGCCAAGGGCTGGGCTGCTCGCACGGTTTGCTCCAAAGACAATTGCTCCTTCACAGCGGATCGCACCCCTCCCCGGCACAACACATCAAATGATGTCTCTTCGAACAGATCAGCACTTTGCAGTCCTTGTCAACCACTTCCAGCAAGCCTTGTCGCGCCCAAGCAAAAGGAACAGAAATGTGACCGGGCCTTGTCTCGTCTCCGTGTCTCACGACGGCCACCGGGCCTTCCATCGCGGGTCGGAGACGCGGGGACGACGCGGGGAGACGCGGGGAGCGGTCCGCGCGACCCGGCCTTTCATGCCGTCAAACTCGTCCAAGAGCTGAGCCTGAAGAGGTTCTGTGAGCAAAGAAGGAAGCGATCACAAGCAGCCAAAGGCCGCAAGCCAGAAAAAGATCTGCAAAAAGTGGAATCAACGGCCAGAAGTGGATCTGGCAACTCGAGAGGTCTGGAGAAAAATCCGGACTCACGTCTCGACCCACCCAAGGAGGGAATTGTTCCAAGGTGGTCCCAAATTGGAAAAGGGATGATCATGGCCCATGGCAAAACCCCCGCTCTTTGATCTGGCCGCTAGGCCAACCTAAGTTTTAGCCCCCAGAAATGGAGGTGTTGGACAGTTGCTGCCGCCATGCCTGCAAGTCATTAGAGAGAGTATGCAAAAAAGTCATAGTATGCCCCATGCATGCTCCACATGATTCCCAGGTCACGCAGTACTCGGTTCTTCGCAGTTGCGTGAAACTCAGGGATTCTTCTGGCTGTCCCTGGCCCTGACCGGAGCTGAACCTGGACCCGCGACCTCTTTTTCTGGTGCTTCGGGGTGCCTGGACTGTTCGCCCGGTCACCCCTGACGCAAGCCACATGTCCTTCCAAGTGTTCAACTACCAACAGAGTTGAAGAACCCTATAGACTATCCTAGTTGGGTACCCCAGGTTTTCCGGGTTCTTTTTCAGGTCACTGAGTAATGAGAACGAAACAGAAATGAAACTCCAAACTTCCAGTCCAGCTGACTGGAACCCATCTGGAAACCCTTCCCATCCTGCTCAAGCGACCAAAGGCCAATCTGTCCAAAAATCACAGCTCTTCACACTGCAGGATGCAGGATGCAGGACTGGGCATTGCAAGGACAGCTGCCTTATGCAGCTTTCTCCTCTGCACCCGAACCGGGTCCCCCGTTCTTCCGATCCGGATCCCCGCACCGAGACAGTCGTGATGTGCTCTGTGGTGAAGCCCTGCTTCGACTCGGCGGCCTGATATCAGGGCATGGCAACTGACTTCGATGTCGCCATCGCGACCGTTCGTAGCTTCTTGCTACGTTCGTAGTAATGCCAGGAGCTATATACTCATAGCATCTCATACTGTAGCGTCCTTGCGACCTTCCCAGCGATGCCCTTTGTTGCTAGTAGCTTCTTGCTTACATGTGTGTTTGTTCCATGGTCTTTCTTCATGTTTAGTTTCGTCCATCAAATTCTGGAAAGTTCTGTCGCCCCATCTTGTTCTGCGTCGACCTGACACCCTGGAGCCTGGCTCCGAAAAGCACCCCCATGGGACCCACCACCGACCCATGGGACCCGCCACCGGGACCTGCCATGGGACCCGCCACCGGGCGACCTGCGCCTTGGTGTCCACGGCTTTGGCTTTCTTGGAACCTTTGGGCCTCAACGGGTGATCGAGGGCGTGGTCGACGCGTTGAGGCCAAGCAGGGGGGGTGGGGGGGGGCTTCCCTGGTCCACGCGTTGAACGGGGTTGGAGTCCTTGGTGTTGTTGGTCGTTCATGTTGACTGTTGAGGAACACAAAAACATACAAAAACCAGAAACTACACTGGATGGATGGTCAACCGTCAACATGAATTGGCTATAAACCCATGAAGTTCCAAAAACAGGAGGACAGTCTGCAGCTTCGGGCAATTGTCCTCCCCTTCCTACCTTTGTCTCTTTGAGCCATACCTGCCATATCCCTTCCTGGAAAAACCACTCTCACTCTGGCTGCAACTGGCTGAATGAAAAATGTAAACTTGGCAGCCCCACTCTTTGAGCTGATGCTTCAGCTGAGCCTCACCACTCTCCAGCTCGTCACGAACAGGGCAGGTCATGCAACACACACAGAATCTGCGTGCCTCCAGTCCGTCGACAGCCAGGAGAACGCCCTTGACCTGGATCAAATCTCGAACTCACCAAGTTCCTCTGGCTTCTGCAACGAGATCTACAGTACTGATTCAGACAATGGAACGCGTCAAACCGGTGTCTTAACTGGGGCGATTTCGAGCTAGAAAGTTTTACTCCAGCCAAGTCGCATCACTGCCCCAGCTTTCAATGCGGCCGATCTCCTCAGCCAAAGAAGCCTCAAGCCAGCACACAGGTCAGGTCACTATGGCCAATGGATGCTCAGGTCGGGTCAGACCCGTTGAACAACGGCCCACCCATCGGACGTCCACCGCTTCACCAACAACAGCGGAGGTTCTCCTGCCTCAGCGGCCCAGCCGCCCACGCCGTCGCCGTGCCGGTGACTCGACCCATCACCAAGAGTCCAGTCATGACAGATGAAAAAACCCTCTATGGTAGTGGTGGATGGATGGATTATGACGACCAGGTGGTTGGTCATTTTGAGTCATTGATTGGAAGTTCTGGCAACTGCCTATTGACCTGTCCGCCCAAACAAGACAGGGCAGCGGATCGTTGACCAATGCATCGACGTTCCTCTGACCACCCCTTTTAAAAGGACCACCGGGTCCTCACGACCGAGGCTCCCGTCCTCCAACATCCTCCAACTTGGGCGAACCCGAGGCGAGCGGACTCGGTCGATGGCACCTGAAGCGCCTTTTGGATCTTGATCCGTTGTTCCGCCTGCCGTGAAAGGTTCCGCGCGCAGGGAAAGCTGCCGCGGAACCTTTATTTCCGGCGGATTCCGGCGGATTCCGGCGGAGGCGGAAACGGCGTGCGACAGCGAAAAGGAACGGAAAGCACGGCCGGCGAGCCACCATGAGGTCAACTCGCGACACAGCGTCAGCCTGCTTTTCTTGAAGCTTCTGCATAATCAAGTCACCCATCGATTCTCCCTGCAATTCTCGGTAGATCCGTTCTTCTTCATCCAGTGTGGAAGAGCCTCGCGGGTCATGAGCGCGAACCCTCACACGCCAGACACGTCCGGCACTTTAAACAAGAAGACTGCGACAGCTTGAGTCCCAAGTTCTCGTCAAACAATATATGGAATGTTGCAATGTTTGACCGAACATCTGGAAGCATGTGTCTCCCCCAAAGGTCGGTCGTCTTCCAAAGATCCCGTGGACATGCATGGTCAACTAAGCACTGACCCTGTCAGACACTCTCGCCTGTGAGTCTCACTTGGGGCTCCTTTCCACTCTGAGCCTCAGACACACCGGTCGACCCCACGGACCCCCCGTCGACCCCACGGACCCACGTCAGACGGTCGCGCAGGTCGGTCGCGCCGGTGGGGGGGCAGGCGGCCCCGGCCCGCTTGATCTCCTTGCGCGTTTGCACCAGGGCCTGGGCGCCAGGACGGAGAAGAAAGAGATGAGGAAAAAACCACCAATCTTGGGCTATGTTCTAAAACCTTTCCATAACCCCTGCCACGCACGCCTCTTCCATCTGCTTGTAGTGCTCTCCTAGTCTCTTCACCTGTCAAAGACAGCGGGAGCTCCTCGCGAGTGCCGCCAGTCCTCTCTTTGTGCTCTTGTTTCTGCGGTCGGCGCGCGCGGCCGCCTGCTCCATCAGCTTGCGATTCCTTGGCGCACAGCGTGTGGCAACAGGCACCAAACACAGAGCATGTGTTCTGCCAAAAGCCATTCATTGGCCGGCGAAGAAGTGGATCACACAAAAGTCGCACTATTCTGTTGATAACTATATATACCACCCCCAGGGCCATGAGCAACTCCGAGCCAACTCATCCTCATCTCTGACCTGCACACCTAATGACCAATTTCATACCATACAAAGTCCTTTTACTGGTCTGCTGGTGGGCCTCACCTGATGGCAGATTTGATTCATACCTTGCACATCAGCTAGAGGCTAAGTACTTTCGAGCCAGATTGATGATTTCTTTGACAGTCAAGTCCCAAGTGAGGATCTCGAAGGAATCCAAGAATACTGAAAAGAATACTGCGACCCAGAGTTTTGAGAGCGGCAGCAAACCTCCCCCATTTGTTGTTGCTTTTGGCAGACACTGAATTCTAATGAATTCTAGACTTTGTTCAAATCATATCATTCGGTGCCAGCACCAGCCAGCTACCAGCAGCCCGCATGGAATTGCTTCAGCAATTCAGAACAACACGGCCCAGGCGCTCATTGGTGAGCCGCAAAATGGTCTCCTCCTTCCCCCTTTCCATCTGCAGGAAGATGGAGTTGTCCACCGGTGCTGACCTGATGCCACCCAGGCCCCCGAAACCACCGCCCCGATGTGCGGCCAACCCGGGCTAGGTTGCTGCTGCTCCGAATGGGTGGTGCCCAAGAAAAGCATGTTTCTTTTGGGGGGTGAGCAATGGATTTGAGGCCGGAAGGCTACATAATTCTCTCATGCCTGAGCAATCCCACAGTTGGAGACACAACAGCTTTATAGCTGGGAGCCAACGGCCAGCAAACTGATCTACTCAACCAAAATCCAACTAGCTCAACCAAGCACCGCCATCACCGCTTCTAGAATCAAGCAAGGGCTGTCAATCTGTCAATCCTTACAATGCCTGAGCCTAGTCAGTTTCGTTGGTGAATCATGTTTGGCAGCTCCAACATCCACCACTTGCCTAGCCTCATTACAAATTATCTTCTCTCCCCATTCAGCTTCCGGCGGCGCAGGGGGCTTCACCTCCTCCACCTGAAAACCGTCGCTTTCGTCTTGACAGAAGTGCTGAAGGTGATGAAGGTGGCAAGTCATCCTTGTCTTTCCCAAGTCTTCTTATGTTAGTCAACTCTTCTTCTCCCTCTGGAATGATCATGGGACTCATTTATGACTGTTGTCCTCCAAGCAGCTGGTGCAAAATCCAAGTTCCCTGCCTTCCACACCGGAACTGACAACCCGTCACCGCGGACCGAGCGAAGGCACCTTGGCGCCGACCACCTCCGCCTCCTTCAGCCGATCGGTCAAGGCCTTCATTCGGCGCGCGGCCGCGTGCCGAACGCGTCCCGTGCGGCCGTCCACGGTCGGTGCGACGCAGCGAAGCGCCGGTTTCGCGCAACGCGCACACCGAACTGTTTGGCAGGGCGCATGGCAAAGATCCTGAAGGTTGGGGGGGAATTGATGGTCGCCTCCTCTTGAGGCCTTTAAGGGTCTTGAGAACTGTACATTCACCATGCATCAATTGAGCTCATGGCCACCCTCGAAGTCACGAGCTGACATCCATGGGACTGACCGCATGGTGTCAAGGGCCCCATGCGCCAGCAGGCGGGGCGATTGAAAGTGGGGGAAGTTCCGAAAGACCTGTGGATATATGAGGGTCCCCCATTTGCTTGAGGGGGGGGGGAAATGTTAAAAAAGTTGATTGAGTGAAGTTTTTGAAAATACAATGAAACAGGATAAAACCATATTCTTAATATGGTTGATATCTTCATTGTAATCAACCATATCAAAATCAAAGCAGTCAAAGCATCATTACCTCATTCAATTTACAAAATCAAAGCAGTCAAAGCATCATTACCTTATTCAATTTATAAAATCAAAGCAGTCAACGCATCATTACCTTATTCAATTTATAAAATCAAAGCAGTCAAAGCATCATTACCTTATGTATTTTTATCAAATCCTATCTACTGACCATGGCCTAAATTTATTTGATGCTTATTTGTTTTAAGATGTCTTGAGTAACATTGTTGCCGTATTGAACAATTACAAACAGAACAGGTAATGGTTGTTCGATTAAATTTATGGTTTTGTTCCAGTTTCTTTTTTCGATATTCTTCATCTTCTTAATATCTTTTCTTTGTGCTTCATTTACTTTATCTCTATGTGTATCACGTTTGCTCTTTTATATTCTAAGCATTCTTTTACACGTTTTAAGCCCTTCTTCAAAATTATCAATAGGTAAATCTTTGACACAATATCTACAAAACCTCTCCATCAAAATATAAGATATCATTTTCTTAAATGTATTTCCTAAGAATTCTTATCAAACACTTCCCAGAAAAACAGAACAACAAACCAACAATACAAAGAACAGAACAGAAGACCTAAATACATACAAATTCAAAGAACCAAAAATATCATTCACATAAAAACGACTTAAAGATTAAATGACTTAATAAAATATATAGAGTATTATATGATGAAAAAGTTATAGATTATCTATTAAATAATGATTTAGCAGAAATACCTAAGAGAGGAAGAAAAGAATTAAAGCAAATAATCATAGATGGTAGCAAATTTAGATACAATATATAAAGCAAAAGAAATATCAAATGTCTTTTTTAAAAGAAAAAACTTAAATCAATCAGAAATACAAACGAGTATAGGAGTTATGCCTTAAACAAAGCAAAGGATGCTTACACCCTTGGACGAGCAAAAGTATTATTAACAAGGAGGGCAATAAGAAATAAATTCAGAGTAAATGATGTCCAGTCAGCGTTTAGAAACTATGCCAATTCCATAAAACTAGAAAATAAACACGTTCAAGGTGAGCGAGGATTGGAAATGATTGCTCACCAAAAATCACGATTGAGAGACTTCCTAAAAAATAATAGAAATATGAAACTTAACATCAGAACGGAAGGTTTAATTGAAAAACCTGAATATGATGATGGAGGAAATAGAATTGCTACAAGCGAACACCTTTATCAATTACCAGCAACACGTTACAATGTTCATAATGAGGATGAGTTAAACCAAGCATTAGAAAATAGTGTTCAACAAATCTTATTGAAAATTCAAGATTTAGAAGGCACACAGTCCAATTTAGTATTTAAAAAGATTGTTTCAACAACAATTCCTTTTGATAAGTATGACCCTACAAGAGTGGGGAGGTATATAGAACTACCAGAATGGATTAAACTTAAAAAGGCGTGTATCAACATAAAAAAATAAAGACCAAAAATGTTTCAAATACTGTATTCAATGCATAGTCTTTGATAAAATCAGTAAAATTCATCCAGAAGAGATGTTCCACTACAACAAGTTAAATGACAATATGTTGAATTGGAATGGTGTTAAATTTCCTACAGGGAATTGGGACATAGACCGGTTTGAAGAAAACAATAAGCAAGTTTCAATAAATGTTGTTGAACCTGATGACTGCTTGAAGGACAACAAAATAATTTTACATAGAGGAACTAAAAACAAAAAATGCTAAAAATGAAATTGATTTGTTGAAGATGTTTGATGATGACAATAATTATCACTATGCGTTGGAAAAGAACAGATGTAGATTACTTTCAGAGTAGCCAAAACACAAATAAAAAGTTTTACTGTCATCATTGCTTAAATCAATTCTCAACGGAAAATGCATATAATAAGCATTTGGAAAAAGGTTGTATGGCATCAGAAGGACAGCAAACCAAAATGCCTGATAAAGGTAGTTATATATATTGAATTTGAAAAACATAACACTAAATTACCGTGTCCTTTTGTAATCTATGGAGATTTTGAATGTCTAACCACTAACTCCAACAATGGTATAAAAGGCACATATCAGGAACATAAACCGTGCGGTTATATGTTGAATGTAGTAAGCAGGATTGATAATACATGCCAACCATACTTATACAGAGATGAGGATTGTATGAAAAAGTTTGTAGAACAACTGACTGAAATTAAGAAAGATATATTTGAAAAGATGAATGTTAGTAAACCAATGGAAATTACATACGAACAAGAATTAGAGTTTAGAAAAGCAACTCACTGCTCAATATGTAATAAGAAATTCCAACCTGATGATGAGAAAGTCCGCGACCACTGCCACTTCACAGGTAAATACAGAGGCGCAGCGCATGTAAAATGTAATTTAGATTATGCATTTAAGTTTTTTAAAATCCCAATATTTTTTCATAACCTAAAAAACTATGATGATCAGTTAGTCATTGCTAAAGCAAATGAATTGAACATAGAATTGAATGAAAACAAAAGGATAGATGTAATAGCACAAAACAGTGAAAAGTTTATAACCTTTTCATTTGGTGCTTGTCAGTTTAAGGACAGTTTTGCTTTTCTATCAGCATCACTGGACAAATTAGTCAGACTAAATAAATATGAAGGAAATGAAAAAGTAAAAAAATTAGAAAATCACTTCAGATATACAAAAACAAATCCATATATCAAGTCTAAAACTGATTTAAATTTACTAACTGAGAAAGGAATAGACCCATTCATTTGATAAATTTGATGAAGAACAACTACCAAGTAAGGAACACTTCTATAGTCAGTTGTATGACGAACATAGCACGGATAGAGATTATGATAGGGCAAATGTTGTATGGAAACACTTTAATATAAAAAACCTTGGTGAATACCATGATTTGTATTTGATGACCGATGTTTATTTGCTGACTGATGTTTTTGAAAACTTCAGGGATATGTGCTTAAACTATTATGGTTTAGACCCAGCATATTATATAATTTTGCCTAATTATTCTTGGAATGCCTTTTTATCACTAACAGGAGTTAGACTTCAACAAATCCGCATCAAAGAAATGTATGAGATGATTGAAAACGGACTGAGAGGAGGGATGACACAATGCTCATACAAAAAAGTAGAAGCAAACAACAAATATATGAATTAAGAATTTGATAAATCTAAACCATCAAGTTATATAAGTTATTTGGATGCTGATAACTTGTATGGTTTAGCAATGTGTAAGAAATTGCCTTATGATAATGTCAAATGCCACTACAACAAAATTGATGAAAAGAAAATCTTGAATTACACCGATGATGATGAAATAGGTTATATTATGGAAGTTGATTTAGAATATCCAAAAGAAATTCACGACTTCCACAAGGACTACCCATTAGCACCTGAAATTATGAATATTAATGAGAATATGCTTTCTGAAGTTCAAAAGGATATTCATAAATACCATTATGGAAAAGAAGCAACTGACGAGAAAACAAACAAATTAGTATTAAATCTTATGGATAAAAACAAATATGTATTACACATATCCGCCTTGAAATTCTTTCTACAACACGGTTTGAAACTAAAGAAAGTCCATAGAGCAATAAGTTTCAAACAAGCACACTTCTTAAAACCTTTCATTGAATTCAACACTGAGAAGAGAAAACAAACAAAGAATGATTTCGAAAAGGACTTGTTTAAATTAATGAATAATTCTGTTAATGGTAAAATTATGGAAAATATTAGAAAGCACGGTGATTTTGAGTTGGTTAATACTGCTGAACGCTTTCAAAAACTGGTAAATAACCCAACATACAAACACCAATACATTATAAATGATGAACTTGTAATAGTTGAAAAGGATAAACAAACAATAGAGTTAAACAAACCTATCTATATGGGTATGTCTATTTTAGACTATTCTAAAATTCACATGTATTCGTTTTACTATGATGCTTTGAAACCAAAATATCAAAGTAATATTAAGTTGGTCTATACTGACACTGATAGTTATGTAATACAGGTTGATACTGATGATTTATACAAAGACTTCAAAGAAATAAATGAATATATGGATTTTAGTGATTACAATGTTGAACATCCTAACTATGATAAATCAAACAAAAAGGTATTAGGCAAGTTTAAGGATGAAATGAACGGTAAAATATTTACTAATTTTACAGGATTGAAACCAAAGGCTTATTGCTACAAAGTCTATGGAGAAGACAGGGAACATAAGAAAAGTAAAGTAATGATTTAGCAGAAATACCTAAGAGAGGAAGACAATAATTAAAGCAAATAATCATAGATGGTAGGAAATTTAGATACAATAAAGCAAAAGAAATATCAAATGTTTTAAATAAAAAACGTAAATCAATCAGAAATACAAACGAGTATAGGAGTTATGCCTTAAACAAAGCAAAGGATGCTTACACCCTTGGACGAGCAAAAGTATTATTAACAAGGAGGGCAATAAGAAATAAATTCAGAGTAAATGATGTCCAGTCAGCATTTAGAAACTATGCCAATTCCATAAAACTAGAAAATA